CATACACAGGTAGAAAAGCATAACTTATATTAAAGCTATTGTACCGATGAATTAGTTTCTGTAAAGTGGCGCTGTTGTCAACGTCGGCGCGATAGCTCTGAGGCTATCTTACCGATAGTCGGTGTAATAGACACTGCCTTCTAGAAACCCATAACATTTCAAAACAAAAGACTAAGTTAAACACAAAGAAAAGTTTATTAGTTGTGAACAGAATTATACTTATAAAATGCCTTTACTTTATTTTCATTCTCAAGCGTTTCTCCAAATGACAGAACTACGTTAGTATTGTAATTGTATGTGTCGTGTAAATTTAATACAATGGCTGAATTCGATGCAATATACGAAGAAGAAGTTGAAGAACGTTTTACTGAAGAATTTCTAATTGACCCTGTTATTATTCGGGGAGCTGGAAATATGACAGTGTAAGTATAAAAATAAAATGAACTAAAATGCTGCAGAAATTATGCCTGTTTTTATTTTAAGCATTTTGGCAATATGCTGTTCTGTATTGTAATTGTTATTTCTTTTATGTTTGCTCTCTTTATCAATTTAAAACAAAATTGTTGACTTTATTTTGTACTATAAAGTATATTAGTTATTCTAAAATATATCTTCGATCACCTTGAAATTTATTAGATTATTTTAGGCTATCTACTAAACTGAGCTGTATTTTGTTTTAATATTTCTAGTATAGTGGTTGTAATACATGTATAAACTTATCCATTTAAATATCTATATTACAGTTTATTGAAAAAACCATATGGTTATTGGAAGATGACTCATCAGAATCTGTTTAAAAGTATAGATAATTTTCCAACTAGAAAAATTCAAACAAATTTTTGCATCAGTGAAACTGTATTTTGTTTTCATATTTCGAATATAATGGATGTAATGCATGTATAATCTTTGGTATTAAAATTTCATAGTACAGTTTAATGAAAATCCCATGTGGTTATTGGGAGATGACTCATCAGATTCAGTATAAAAGTATGGAAACTTTTTCACCAAGAAAAATGTAAAGAAATAATATCTGAACAAGGGGATATTTCCGTATCATAATCTGTTGCAACAGCAAAAGGTGCTAAATAGATTTGAAATTCACGAATTTTTTTTAAAAAATTAAAACACGAAGTGACTTTGAATTACCCCTTTCCAGGTAGTCCATTTCCGTGATGTTTTTATTTATTTCTTGTTGTGGCTGCAGCGGGGAAATTGCCAGGACTAGATTATTGTTCTGCCGCAAATCGCAAAATGAAAATTTTCATCTAAATAAAATTGGGAAAATCTTCAATTTCTAAACCAAAGATCTTGGAAAAGATGTAGAATTTTTTTATCACTTAAATTTTTAGTTGTCTAATAGTATTAGAAAAAAGTGTATTTACTCAGATTTGGCTCAGCTTATCCTAGAATTACTTTACAGACATAAAAAGTTTAACTATATCATAATTTATGATTGTGTTATTATTAAATATTTAAAATAACATTATAAAAATAAATTTATTTAAATATATAACTTTTATGTATCGGAAAACTTATGTCTGGAAAATGTATTTATTATTATTTTTAAACTGAACTACATTTACTTATAAATAGTATAGTAATATTTTCTTACCAGCAGGATTTTTACTCGTGTATAGTAAAGTATGGTTTTTTATTTGTTAAAACCATGGAAAAAAAGATAAAAACCTGCTAAATATGATTAATCTATGTTTATTGGCAAGCTATTTGTATCAGTTTATAACTGATACAAACATAGATTATTTCTATATTAACTATTTAGTTAATATTAGAAACTGTAAGTGAGGGGCCATAATTCCAATTCAAACAGAAATTGTATACACTTGACTTTGCAAAATTACTTTATTATCCATTAAAATTAAGTGGCATTTTTTCACCACATGTCGTGGGAAAAGAGCCGTGATGGCTCAGGGGAGCGTTTGCCTTCCAATGAGGTGAACCGGGTTCGAATCCCACCAATGGCTGATCGATGCGAATCCGCATCTGGCTTGCACTGACTGCAGTGCTGACATGAAATATCCTCAGTGGTAGATGGATCACGGGTTAGAGTCCCTTTGCCGTCAGGCTAACCTTGGTAGGTTCTCATGGTCTTCCTCTCCATGTAACTCAAATATGGGTTAGTTCCATCAAGAAAAGTCCTCTGCGAAGGCAAAAGTTCTCCAAATGCTTGATCCTAGAGTTCCCTTGTCTTCTGGATTGGGTTTAAAATTACAAGGATCCGGAGTTGAACATTCGAAGTCATGAACCCAAAAATTGGGTCGGTTTTAAAGTCGTGAAAAAAGTGCAGTTGCTGGGGTAGGAGCCACCATAAAGAGGACTATGTACAAGGAAATGATGGCAGGAAAATGAACTTCTCTACTAAATGATGCAAAACCATTTACTGAATAGGCAAACTTCATTTGCAATGGAGTGGAAGGAATCCACTGTCCAAAAGAGGATATTGAAAGGGATGTTCTGCATTTGAAGAGTGTATGTTAAGTATAAAATGTTTAACAAATATATGACGAATCAATTGTTTAAGAGTTCAAATAAATTGCCTAATTTCTTATGCATCTGTATCCATTAAAGAAGGAGAAAAAGTTATGGAATATTAGAAGATACCAGTATGTATGAATCTACAGAAATTCTGGGTTCTTTCTCTGTTGATGTTGCAATAGGTAGTTTTGCAAGTGTAAAAGTTCAAGGAAAAAGTAGGGTAGTTAAGTTTGTTGCCCAGTTTACTAAAATTGAGAAAGAAATAGCAAATGTACAGATTGTTTTTTTTTTTTTTTTTTTTTTTTTTTTTTTTTTTTTTTTTTGGAGCATAATCTGGTAGATTAAATACTTTACAAAGATGTAGCATAGGTTCATATGTCAAATAAGCAGTGCTGCCGACTCCAACTTATAACAACCGAAGTGTCACTTTTGACAGTGATATTTCCCTTTAACTATTTCTCAAATTTGTAAGATGTCCCCTCTGTTACAATGCGTTATTTAAACTTAATGAAAATGTGTTTGCAATTTTACAAAATCTTATAATAATTTATTTTACCTTGAAATGTGATAATTGAAAAAAGATTTTTAAATAATGTTTAGGATAGTCCAAATCACAGAATTTAGCTTAAATAACAGTGTGTGCCAAGAATGTTGGATTTTATTTGTCCCCTCTGTTACAAGTAGTACTTTTAATTAGCTTGCAATTTAATTATGAGGTTCTTTTATTATTTTATACCAATTAATAAAACATTGCACCCTAAAGTAGCATATTCTTCCCTGAATTTTTTGTTTTTAGATATGTTTAATGTATTTTTTAGAATAAAATACTTGCATAATTTTTCCTCTTTTAATCTAATTGAAAGGTTTTTACTTAAATTACAATTGTTGAATATTATTTTCAGTAATAAAGGAAATTTTTTCTTTATATTTTTTTTTATTATTTTATCATAGTTTTCTTTACATCATACTTTTTTTTGTTGATAATATCCCCTTATTATACCAAGTAAATGAAGGGTGCATCTTGCTGCAACCTTTTGCCTTCCAAGCCAAAAAATAAAATAAAAAATTTAACCTTAACCAACATGTATTTTGGTTAATTATTTTATATTTGTGTGACCCTTGTGCAACAAAACTGAGATTATTTGGATAGAAAAGTCTATTCTAACTTACCTATATAAATATATGTTGATTACTTCTTAAATTATATACATATATATTTTTTATTTCCTGAAACCTGAAGCTTTATTTTGGTTATAGTGTGTTTATTAAGTCACTAATAAATATTTTTATAAAACTTTTTTCAAGGAAAACATTTTAGATCATTTTCAAGTGGCTGCTGACCTATTTTTTTAATTTTTTTTTTTAATAATTCAGATGTTAGAATACATTTTGGTAACTGACTGTTTTTATTCTCAGATTTGGACTAAGTAACAGATTTGAATCTGAATTCCCATCTACTCTATGTGGTAGAGTAAGTATAATTTAGAATATTTTTTCCTGTAAGATCTTAAATCTCATTACATTTTATTGTTTGACTATTATTATTATTATTATGCATTAACTCACATTTCTGCAAAAAATCATTAAGATTATGATTCAAATTAACTGTTTTTCTTTTAAAAAATTTGTTAATTTAAATCAAATTGGTTGTTTAAAATAAATCATTGATTCAAAAGTGCTGTTATGTGAGACATTTTAAAATTTTTGATGGTTTTTAAAGTTTTAAAATTTACTTGAAATTTCTAAAAAATTTTACAAATAGGTGGAATTATTTATTCTGTATAGAAATATTTGTCAGCCTACAATGAAAGTAAGGTGTAACATAATATTTTTCATCGTGTAATTTTAAGTCTTAAAAAATCTATAAAAGCGAAATTAATTTTTTTGATTTGTTTGTTAGTCTGTTTTTCAATAGCACAATATGATACATTTCAAGTTCATTTTAAATTGATTTTAATCAAACATTTATATGTGTTATGATTAAACAATTTATACAGTTATATTGTTTGAAATGTATTGTTAAAATTTATTTTTAATAGTAGGTATTTCTAATTATAATTACATTTGTAAAATTTAACTCATTATAAAGTGAAGTTTTTACAGTAAAAGAATCAAATAGATCAGATTCTTTCGATTTTGTTAATTTTTTAATCACGAACCCTGATGTGAATGTTCTGGCTCTGTTATTGCTTTCATCATGTGTATGTAGGTACACCACTTAGTAAATTATCTTGTGAATTGAAATAAATAATTCTTACTCTAATAGTTAAAATATTTTTAAAATTTATTTTATAATGTTATCATGTAAGTTTGAATTGAATAAGTTGTGGCCTTTTATCATGCTGTTACAGTATTTATCATCCTGTTTAAGAAACTTTATAAGCATGCTTTGTTACCAATCAGCAAAATTTTTAAATCAAATCTTATTATTCCATAAAAACCTCATTTTTTATGCTATTTTTTATCCAATTACTATCTGTATTATTACTATATGTGCTATTAGTTGATTTAAATCACAATTGAAATTGTAATTTAAATCAAGTAATTTTTTTTAAAAAATCATTGATTTAGGGTGACCCGGGGTAATTCACGATCACTCTGTTTCTGGGGTAAATAATGATCACCTAAGTTTTATTTTAAAAAAATTATTTTTTTTTAAATTTGAGACATGGACAAGAATGCTTGTACACTTTACTAAAGTATAACTACATTTACTTAATAATAATTTTTTGTTTAATCTAACAAAATAAGTACCTTTTAAACTGCTTTCTGTATTTTCCATTTCAAAGATGGGTTTCAAAATGTGCATATTTCTGCAAAGATCCCCCTCATTCTCTTAATAATAAATATTTTGAGTTACTTTCTTTTTCTTTGATATAAAAGTAGTGAAAGCTTTTGTTTAATTGTTTCACATCAACTGTAAACTTTATAATTGATTATAGGAAACTATATCAAATGTTGCCCCCTACAGATGGGGTAATTATTGATCACTGGGGTAATTCCTGATCATTGTAATTTATTCTTATAAATAGTATATAAAATAGCTTATGAATAGCTAATTGTCTTTTCTTAAATAACAGTTCATATTTATTAAGTGGAATTTTTGTTTTGAACAAAATTTGTTTTTAACTGTATACAAGACTGTATTCTGATTTACACCATTTCTGGTTTGTCTTACCTTGCTTCCATCTTAATTTTATGTGTGTACATCGTTAGAATAATTTTTAAGTTTATAAATTAGCCTAGTATAATTGTTAGAATAATTTTTAAGTTTATAAATTAGCCTAGTATAAATATGGAGAGAAATTATAAGCCTAAAAAGGATACTAATCTTCTAGAAAACAAAATTAGTGAATTTCTTTTAATGATTGAAAATTAAAATTTCAGTGTGAGAGCTGCTGCCAGAGCTGTTGGCATACCTTACTTAACTTTACACTCTCACTTAATGAAGTAAACTTAATGACTCCAGCAAAAGTAACCCATGTGGGAACTCTCTTATATTTTAGAAGAACATGAGAATGAGTTGGCTGCTTGCCTAAAATGTATGGCACAATGCAAAGATTTTTGTAAATTTAAAGCGTTAATCGTTCTTTTTGCTTTTAAATAAATCGTTTTATTAGCTGCATAAGCATATCTTTTTGGTTTTTTTTTATCTTGATGTCTTATTTGTTAATTACCATTATATAATTATTTTCAAACAGCCCCTTTACAATAAAAACTGGTGATCAGTAATTACCCCAGAAGTAATCAGGAATTACCCCAGAAATGATCAAGACCAGGGGTAATTCCTGATCACTAAAAATTTAAACTCTTTTAAATTCTAATTAGATTTTCAAACAAAAGAAGATGGCATAGGACTCATCTCATATAGCCTCAAACTTCCAGTAAATGTTAAAATTCTATTTTGAATAGTTTTTTCACAAAATAGATGTTTGCGTTTTTTGATCAGGAATTACCCCAGGTCACCATAATTAAAATGTATCTCTTTTTTTAACAAAATCCTTGATTTAAAATATTACAAGGCACTAAAAGAGTAGAGGTTTTAAATTTATTAATAATTTTTATAGTTTGAAATTTATTGTAACTAAGTGGTGTTAATACATTTAAAAATCATGTAATTCTTTTAGATTATTAAAAATGGATGTTTAGAACAAAATTTAAATTCTGTGCGTTTCATATACTATATTAGAGTTCTGTGAACCGCAGCTTGTGTGCAGTAAATTAAACTTATTATTTTTCTTTATTTTCTTTGTTTGTTAATCTCTCTATTTATTTTTCCTTTTCTTCTTTATTATGTTATTTTTTCTTTGACTATGTTAATACAATATTAGAAAGCACAATTTTTATTTATTTATTTATTTTTTGTTCATGCAATCGTGTGAGCTGATGACGAGAAGAAATTCTTTTATTTTATTTATTTATTTTATTTTATGTTTATTTTATTTATTTTTTTTAATTTTAAAATATTTTAAATTTGTGAAAAATTTTTAGATGCATTTTTTAATTTCTTTTTTCTTCTCCTTTAGGAAATCTTCTCAGTAAATAAAACTTATTATTTTTCTTAATTTTCTTTGTTACTCTTACTTTTCTTTCTTTTATCCTGTGAAAATAATTGGGTTTGGATTTTTTAGTGCTATAAATTTATGTAGCAAATTAAAATAAATTCAGATTTAAATATTAAAAAAATACATAATTTAAATCAAATAAATCAGATTTTTTTTATTCAAAAAGCAAATTTATTTATTTTTTCTTACATTTGAAAAAAATTTAAAAAATCTTGAAACCTGATAATCTTTTATATTCTTTATTTTTTCAGTGCATTATTTGTCACGCTATGAACTGTTTCTTCTGAAAATGATAGTTGCTCTTGAGAATTAAGTTTTTTTTTTTTCCTATATCCAGGTAGCTCCAGAGGAGTACAAAGCTACAATAACAAGAATAAATTGTGTTCTACGAAAAACACTTCCAGTAAATGTGAAATGGCTTTTCTGTGGCTGTCTATGTTGCTGTTGTACGCTAGGTTGTTCTTTATGGCCTGTTATATGTTTAAGTAAAAGAGTGAGTAGAGTTTTTAAGTTTTAAACTCCTTTTTTTTTAAAATAAAAAGAAATAATATAAAACTTAAAAATATCTTGTAACTTTAGCCTTCTCAGTAACAAAGATATTGCATAGCAATGTAAGTTTTAAAGCTTGTAACAATAAAATAATTAGAAGCATAAAATAAAATTTTTCCCAGAAATGCAAATATTACATAACTGCCAACTTTTAAAGATTTTCTTTAAAGTAATAGCCAATTTATGCATTCATACTTGATTTAAATTTATTTTGAACACTGTTATATTGAATTTAAGGATTCTAGTATTGACTGAATGAAAAATAAAACTAATTTCAATTGGTAATTCTTTATTTGTAGATTCTGGACTGTCATCTTTCAGACAAATCATAGTTAAAGTTGGCGGATGTGTAATCAAAACAAACCCTGTTTTAATATATTCTTAAAATTATACGAGAGCAATTCTTTGTGTAAAAAAATTTCATTAAAAGCATTTCAAAGGCACAAATGTCAAAAAAGATTTTATTAAACTTTGTACGTGCTTCAGCATCACATTGGCACTCCACCATCAGTAGGATAAATGGCAAGCAGAGATGATGTAATCTGACAGAGGTTATGTCACACTAACGAGATAAATATTCAGTTTAAAATAACAATATTAAATTCACAGTAAGTTTTAAAAAGTAATAATAATTTCAAATATTTTAAAAATATGGTGTAGCTTCAGGATCAATCATAATAAAGGAAACTTTCCATGAAATCCGAATCATTTTTAAGATAATATGAGATGAAGAAGAATCGAACCTACGGCCTTCTGTCCAGCCGTGTTTTGGCATGCCCAGCTGTGTTTTTTTTTCTTCTTTCTTTTTTAAGATAATGTTGGCGTTTTCTTCCAGTTTAAAGCTCTTCGTCAAAGAGTTTTTAACGATTTCACTGTTCAAAACTCTTCTGCCCATAGCTAGACTTTGTAGACGTTTCACTTAAAAAAGACAACAAAACAAAAAAAGATTTTATTGTTATTACTATATTTCTCAAACAAAATAAACAATTTATAATTTAAACTGTATTTAATTCGAAATTTCCATGAAATCTATTTATTATAATCTACTGAATTCAATTTTTTTTTGTTCTAATGATATGTTATATATTATAGACTCGCCATTCTATTGATAAAGTTTTGGAATGGGAGAATAATCATCTGTATCATAAGGTATTATGTCTTTAATATTTAAGTAATGAGCTTCATAATTTTGCCTATTTTTTTTTTTTGTATTTATTAAAAAAGATATTTATCATACATAATATATGAACTTAAAACTTATTAATACAAATGATATTTAGCATTTCTTTTTTACGAAATACATATTGTTTTTATTCTCAAAATAACAATTTATAACAGAATTGTTTTGTTTTTTTAAATATTGCCTTGAATATCATTGTAATTTTATTTATGCCAAGATATGGATTTTTTTTATTTATTATTTCGTATGAGAAATACTTTTTTTCAAAAATATTTCATATTGTTTATGTTTTGTGTTTCTGTTAAACTAAGAATTTATTGCTTTTTTTTTTTTTTTTTGTTAATATTAAATATTAAAATCTACTGTTAATTGCATCAGAAATATATTACTCTCACCTTCATCTTTTTCAGAAACTGAAAGAAAAAAAAATAACTGCAATTTGCAATTATTTTTTTATCTTTCAAAAATTTTCACTTTTTCTCTAACAACTAGTCTTTCATGCTTTTGATAAATGTCTTTTTAACTAAAATCTAATAGTATGTTTGTTTAAAATTCTAGTAAGTTATTATGTTGAAAATTATTGTATCCTGAAATGTTATATCTGTCGGTCGGTTGGGTGTTAGTTTTTCTTCAAAATGAAAATACAGAAAAATTTACTAAACAAAATATTGAAAGAAATGTTATGTTTTAATGTTGCGAAACCTAATAAAGAAACATAAAAGCTGCTTTGTCTCAGTTAAATATTGACATTAATGAACTTATTATGTTATTATTTAATCATTTAATTGTTCACTAAAAGGGGGAATAAAACTGATAAATGAGAGAATAAAAAACTTTATTTTTTTGTTTTACAATTGAAAAGTTAGCATTAATTTTTATTTATCACATTTTCACCCTCCTCTGACTCTACTTGTCACGATGTAAATTTTAAAATACATGTTTTATTTTCTCTTACTTAGCTTATATCTACTTTATTATTTATTCTGATCTAAGCCCCATTACTTCGAATTATCATCCCAAACTCAATTATCTTAGTCATTTGTTAAAGTTTCTTTTACCTGTATGTTTTACCATAATTTATCATTTGTATTTCTATTAATTTGCACTTAAACATATATTTGTTTCAGATAATTATCCATGTTGCATTTTCTAACTGTTTGCACTCATTTCTCACTATTCTACTTTTCATGAAGTTAATTTTTAATTTCTATCTCTAAAGTTATACTTACCATGTAGGTTTTTTGTTAATTTTCGTCTTCGAAGTTATACTTTTCATGCAATTATTTTTGTTTATTAAATTATATTTTCCATGTTATTTGTTTCAGTGTATACATTTATACTTATATATATTTTTTTTAGTTTCTGCCCATAAAGCTATAATAACCATAAAGTTTTTTTTTAAAAAAAAATCATTTCCAGATCATAAAACTGGCTTCTCATACATTCATTTATATTATTTTATTCTACAATCAGTCTTAGTTTATTAATTATGCTAACTATATATTCATTTTTTGTTCTGTAAAATAGAGCATTTTAGGATGTTTTAAAAATATAACTTTCATTAATTTAATGTTATTTAAATATTTTTTTTTTCTAAATCAAGGAAAATAAGGTATATTATTCAAAAATGCATTTTATGAAACCAGCCAACTTATTAATGTTGTAAATTGCATTTCCATCAAATCAAGTATTTAATATTATTAAAGACAAGTTGTAGGTTAAATAATTTATTTTCCTTCTGTTTATGTATTTGAGTGGTACTTGGGAATTCATCTTTGTGATGTTTAAACACAAAAAAAATTTTACCAAACTTTTTAATTGTTAAACTATTTCAGTAGGTGTTATACGATTGTTTCTCCTTAAAAGAAAACTGAACCTTTATTTGAACTGCCATACAAAATTATTGAAACTTCAAAGCAAGCATATTTTTTCCGTCTAAAAAATGTACTCTAACTTCAAACTTTAATTTCTTTTACATATAATATTAAAACTTTTTAGAATCTTTTAACCAATTCCAATGCTCATTACTCTGATTATTATATAATAACATAACTTCACATCAAAACTAAATATTAGGAGAAAGAATTGTGTATTATTCATGTACAAGAAAAACAATAAAAGTGTTTTTTGTGAGATATTTTTTCTGAAATAAATTACTTTAAATCTGTTTACTTTTAACATTTAAAAAAAAATTTATAAAAAAAAGTTTAGTAGCAAGTCTCAGCAAAACAGTTTATCAGTATCGAGTAGTGAGGAAAATTTTATGTTTTAATAATTTTATTTTCTCCTGGCATATTTTTAATGAAACTTCTTTTTTTTTCATAATTTTAGTTGGAAAATAAATTTGTCATTTAAAAAATAATTGTTTATAATTTGACTCTTGAAGATGTTTTATTTTTTATGATACTTGCAGAGCATTTGTAATTAGCAAATATCCTGTTGCAGAACATACAATATAATTTTTCTCCTAAGTACGGGATACAATATAAAATTCAAAAAGAAGCATTTTATGTCTAGATTTTCTCCATCTGAACTGCGTTTAATGTAAACTACTAGTCTGTTTGCTTATCCAATTCAAATTAACCTGCTCCGTTCCAAAATGGTCAATTTTGTTTAAAATTGCTCTAAACTTTCTGTAAAAGTACAAAATTGGCACTAATATTTAAATTTCTATCACTATAAAATTTATAGTGATGGAAATTTAAATATTAGTGCCAATTTTATGATAATTATGAATTGAATTAGTGAAATTAAATGATTATTTATAGTAACAATTATCATTTAATTTCATTTACCATATTTTTTCTAAATTCAACCACATGACATTCCCAATTATGACTAAACTAAAATTTTACACACTTAATTAAACATGCAAAATTACATTTTGTTCAAGAATTTGAAAAAATACTTTTGAGGGAAATAGAAAACTCTCTAATCTAGACCTTAATCATGTGACAAATTTAGAACTTTTCTCCATTACTCTTGCTTACTTTCATTGTTATTTTCAATAAATTTGTTTTTATTTTTTTACATGGGTAATCCAATCAGAATAAGAAAAATATTGTATTTTTTTTCCCTAAAAATAAAGTAGAGGTAAAGAACTAAGAAAATGTTACTTACGATGTGAGGGAATTCCTGAACCTTAAACTTACAAGGGAAACTAGGGAAGTGTGACTCACCAATTTTGAAATAAACTAGTGGTATGCCTTATGAGGAATAATTTTAGGGGGCAACATTCGTTTCGGCCCATAGAAGGTTCTGTGAGAAATAAAAAATTATTCAAAGTATAGAAAAATCGGTATTTTATTACTTCAATGCAGACTATTAGTTATTGTAATTGTCTCCTACTCCAATTAATTTTGTGGTACTTTCACGTACTATATAATGCATATTTATTGTCAAAATTGATTTCGAAAATTTTATATATCTGTAGTTTTTCAGGAAAATCTGTTAGGTTAATTTTAAAAAAAAATTGACATCAAATTTTTTTAATTTTTTTTTCAAAAAACTTTTCAAATTAATTGGAGTATGTAATTGCAAATCAATTAATTAATTAATTAACAATTTATTAATAATTATTTTTCTGATTAATTTATCAATTAGCAAATTAATTAATTATCCAAGTAATTACAAATTAATTGGATTATGAGACAATTACAATAACTAATAGTCTGCATTGAAGTAATAAAATACCGATTTTTCTATACATTGAATTATTTTTAATATCTCACAGAACCTTCTATGGGCCGAAACGAATGTTGCCCCCTAAAATTATTCCTCATAAGGCATACCACTAGTTTATTTCAAAATTGGCGAGTCACACTTCCCTAGTTTCCCTTGTTAGTCATGAGGCAAATTTAAAATTCTTTCTGCTTTACTTTTATTATTATTTTGAACAGATTAAAAAATTATTAATTAAGTATTTTATAACAAGTGCATAAGTTTTTTCTCAAATGAATTTTCTTTGTCTAGGGGTTAATCTTAATGGAGGGCTATTTCATTTTGAAGAAATATGTTTAATATTTTTTATTCTTGTTGTCCAATAACTCTTTCCTATATTTATTTGTTTAAAATGGGAAGTTATTATCTAATGGTATAGATACAGAATTATTATTTCCAACTATATTAACTGATTTTTTTTTTCGTTTAATAATATTGTGTAGTTCCTACAATCTGATACATTTTAAACGATAATTTTATTATATTGTTTTTTAAATACAGTAAGTTATCTTCTAATTCTTTTTTATTTACTAATGCTTATTTCTTTATATATCATAGCTTGGGTTACATTGGAGACTAAATAAACAATGGTGCGATTCCAATAGTATGATGGAATATGTAAGTTTTTTTTTCTTGTTTGTATCAATTTAATTAAATTTTTAGAATTTTACATATCCTAAGTTGGTTTTATTTAGACACGTAGCATTTATTATGTGAAACTGTAGCTTGTATTATAATTTCCAAATTCTGAGACTCATTAAAGAGGGCTCCCAAGGTTTCAGGGAACTGTGAAAACCTGGAATTGTCACTGAATTTTTTTTTTTTTATCCTCTTAAAAGCAGGGAATAGTCAGGGAAAATTGAAATTTATTTTTAAAAAAAAAAACCTGGAGAATTCCTTACATCGTACCTAGAAAATAACCAATCTCAGAATTGTTGATAACAGTAATTAATTGAGATTCAAGATTTCTTTGTAAAAATTTTACATTTAGTTAAACTTCCATGCTTCTATCCTAATTCAATGATATTTCTTTGCTCACAAAATCTAGTGTTTGACGTTACAAATAAAAAATCAAAGTTGTCTGATGAAAAATTGCATGGTATAGATAAAATGTTTGGATTTTCATTGCAATTTTGCTGATACATCTGGAAAAATCGGGGGAATTTTTTTCCTCAAATTGAGTGGGAACCCTGTTAAAACACTTAAATATCTATATATATTTTCCATGTCCTTGTTGCATAAAAAAATTGATGCTAGACTTTATTTTTAATAATATTTATTTTACAACATAAAATTTTTTATTTGTATTACGCAAATCAATAGAAATCTCACATCTTTATAATTGAGTTTGTGGAATGTAATATATGCATTTCATTAACTGAAATACTGTTTAAAATACTCTGAATTTAAAGTACTTAATAGTTTCAAGAGTGTGAAAAATAACCAGTTATTACTTTTTACATAAAAAAAACTTATTTAATCCTCATTTAATAATTATAATGAAAGCTTCATTATTTAATTTTTACCGCTTTCATAACTGTTTAGGTATTGTTTTTTGGTATTCACGTTATATAAAGTCTATTTTTGCACAGTTAGTTTTCTCCACATTTACAAGGTGGGATAATTAGACACCTGGAGTGTATGTCCTAGCTATTAAGCTTGCTGTGAGAGAGTGAAAGTAGTTGACCTTGATGTTTTCGAAGCTGGTGAAAGGTTATTCCGTCCCTATCCATCTAGCTTAGTTTGTTTTCTTTTATCCTTGTTTGAGTAAGACGTTGGATTGAAGTGCCGCAATCATGATAAGCTTAAAAAAATAAAGAGCCACGATGGCTCAAGGGATAGAGCTTTCGCCTTCCAATGAAGTGGACCGGGTTCGAATCCTGCTGATCAGAGGTGATTGTACTCCGAGAGTACCCCGGGATTCCGGGTTCATCGTATCATTCTTCCGTGATCAAAAACTAGAAGCAGTGCATGCAAATTTTGTGCAAATATTGTAGAATTCCGCATTCGCATATCTCAGGGCCTTCTTGTGGACTTCTGTAAATCAAAACTTATAAATTGACGAAATTTTGAAGATTTTGCTAATTATCGTTAGCAAGATGTTTATATACATTCTTCCGCCAATTACGTCCTACATGATTCTGCTGCAAATTTGGTTTCGTGGATTTTCGCTATTTGGTACAGCCCCGGAATCTACTAATGTCGCAAATCTTATTCACACGATTTTAATATCAAACATCGATTTTTGTATTTACCTGATATAAAAACTATTCATTGCAATTCGTATTCACATGATTTAAAAATCGTGCACCGCATTTTGACAATTTCTATTCACGTTTTTTTAAAACCCAATATGGCAATTCATGCTCGTGCATTTTTAAAATCCGATATTGCAATTCGTATTCATACGTTTGTGATATCAAACATCCTGAAATTTATTATACATGATTTAAAACCTAGGCATTGCGATTCGTATTCGTGTGATTCAGGAATTCAATATCGCGAGTAGTATTTTCGCGTTCAAAATCCAATATCACGATTCATGTTCACCCGATTTTAAAGTCGAATATTGTGATTCTTGTTAGAAGTAAGCTTCTAAAATTAGTTACTCTAAAGGTGTGATATATTTTGCATTAGAAAGTAATTTAATTATAAATGTTAGTTCAAAAAATTATGTTACATATGAAATATTTATGATACATAAATTATCGATTTTTCGAACATAAAATTTTCAGGGTTTTTCACTTTGTGCCACAATCACCCCTAGCTGATGGCTGGTTGATACAAATTCTGCATCCGGCTTGCACCGACCACAGTGCTTAGGTGAAATATCCTCAGTGGTAGACGAATTATCAAAAAGTCCTCCACGAATTCAAATTTCTCCCAATACTTGATCCAGGAGCTCCCTTGTCTTCTGGATTGGGTTTAAAATTACTAGGCTATGTATTTGAACGTTAGTAGTTGTAAACCCAAAAATTGGGTTGCCTGTTTGACGGTTATAAAATAAAATAAAAAACTTAAAAATCGAGCAGCGTGTTTCTTTGACTTAATTCTCACTCGTTATCAAAATAACAGAAAAATTTTAAGCTTTCGATAAATAATTATAGGCAAGCTAAAAGACAATCTGTGTATAAATTTTCTTCAAAAGAAACTAAAATAAACTAACTAAAAAAAGAATGAATTAATAAACAATCTGAAGGATTTTTTTTAATATATTTTAAACTTAAAATGATGAGAAAATAAACATTTAAAGGAATTTTTTTTAATAAAAGGTATTTATTTTTAAAAGATATAATGGTAAAATTTAAAATCTCTAAAAAGAACTCATATGTATGCCCCCCCCCCCTCAATAAAAGATTTGAATATATCTGGGACCAAATATCATGCGAATTTTAATTATATAGCCAGACAACATGTGAAAAGTTTTACTAAAAAAATCAGAAGAGGACATTTTATTGAATCAAGTATTTAAAAAAACAACCTTTTCCAGAAAAAATAAAGAGGCATTCTTTTTAAGGGATGGCGTCACATTTATAGTCGGCAAGAAAGGTGCATTTATAGGGATCAAAGGACAGGAGGGGTGGGCCACCCTTCTGAAAAGGGTTAGGGAAAACAATGGTTATAAGTCCTCACTACCCTGTTCCACCCTAAAATGTTCAACTTCGTATGCAGATTGTCAAGATACCAAAACAGAGAAACCTTTTCTCTGCAGATGATCAAAATTGTGACTGCAAGTCTCTGTATCTTCTTCAGGGATGTTTTGCAGACTGTTGCAAATAGCCCATGATGCACCTCTAGTGCAATTTTTTTTTTTTTTAAATAAAAAAAATTTACTTTCACTTACCTTCAAAATTAAAAAATATTTTATTTATTAATTAATGTCTTGTAATTTTTCTTGTATTTTCTCTTAAATTACATTTATTTGTTTTGTGCTTGTTTTAGGTGTTGCTTATTGAATTTATTCCGAAGATACCCATCCACCGTCCAGATTAAAATTAAATAGTATCTAGAAAAAAAAATACTGTTTTTATCAGTCACTTAGCATGGTTTTTGGTGTAGATTGGTTGTATACTGACAACTTTCTTTCACAAGTTTGTGATTTTACCCAAAGTGACTTAAAGCAAAATAACTGATTGCATGACAGTATAATATTATTTTGATGGTATTAAACTATTTGTCAAGAAAGTATCTTATTAGAATATGGGGATACCAACTTACTACAGATTTTCTATAGTTACTATTCAATTTCACTATGTACTTAGTTCTATCTAACCTAAATTAACGAATTCACTTGTGTGATGGCTGATAATCAAGACTTTACCCCACCACAATACAGCTTTCCCTCCCTGTTCTCAAATAGCTGTACTAAGCTAAGAAAAAACCTAAATGGAAACAGTTATACAAAAACAATTGAAGTTTTATTGACAGGTGTACTGTGTGTAAACCCATGGTCACATGTCATACTTCAATGTACTGGTCTATTTCCTAGAGTAACAAAATGTATGTAACACGTTTGAAACACAATGTTTTGTCAGCCTGAGTGACCTCTTCATGTCAAGTTCTATTAAAGACCTTGTTCATTCATCCCCTTTGTTGCATGATTTAGCAGAACTGTATCATACTATAAATGGCATTGATAGCAAGTGTGGTTCAGCTGAACTGCATCACACTTGCTATCAATACCATTAGTAGTGTGGTGCTGTTCTACTAAATCATACAAGAAGAGTAAGTGAACATGGTCTTTTACATGGATTCACATGAAGGGATCACTAGGGCTGTAAATACAGTTGCATTGTTTAATAGACTCTTACAGGAACTAGACTATTTTGTTCATGTATGCTGTGTGACCCAGGGTTTGCACACAGTACTGCTGTAAGTGAAACTTGAATTGTTTCTGTACTTAGAAAAAGATTTGTTTTTGATGGTTTAGCCTTTTAGTTTAATTCCATAACCCTCCCCAAGGAAATTATGAATAAAGTTGTACTGCCTTTGCTTAACTCTAGTGACAGCAATAAAGTCCACCACATGCACGAAGATTTATTTATTCTAGACAATTATTAAGAAAAATAAACCCACATGTCATAACAGCCATTACTTTTTCAATGAAAAATAAATATAAATTATTCACTAAAGTTGTAAATAAAAATTTTAAGTTTTTATTTTATATTACTTTTAAAAAAAAAACTTCAGTAACTAGGAAAATTTATTATTAGAGTTTGGCGTCCCCGTTAAGTCTGCATGTATTTGTTCTACTGAAGAAAAAAAATCGTTGTGTGTCTGATAGTCTGCACCTGTTATTTTGTGTTAAAGATTCCTGTTTTCCTATTATATATTTGTAATTTGTGTACTGTTTTATGTCTTATTTCTGTTGTTGACACAAATAACTCTAAAACTGTATATCTAAAATATATTCATATGGTGACTAACCAAAAGTCGATAAACATGTATTCCCATTAAACTAATACATTTCATGTGTGTTGATCGTGTTAGTAAATCACGTTTTATTGTGATAAAGATCACATTTTAAAGTGATCTTTATTAAGTTTGCTAAATAATAAATGTGTCAGATTGTATAACTGTGAATTATTTAAAGATTTGTTAAAATTGAACATGTAGATTCCTGATTATCTGAAACAAGATATACTGTTAACCGACATCTTGCCAACTGTTTCAAACTATTTTTTGAATCATGCCGCACAAACTTAGAATGTTTGTAACATTGTTTACACTTTTTTTTAATGTATAGTTATATTGGAAACATCTTAACAAAATTACAATTTTAAACAGAGTTTTAAATCATCCGATTGGCTATCTCTAAAAAATGATTTCAATTAAAAGTTCAATAATCAATTACAACTAATAAAAGAGTCATAAATTAAAGTAAAATTACTGATTGTGTTCATAAAAGTTTTTTTTTAATTTAATTTAAAAATGATTTTAAAATTTAAAACATTTTTTATTATAGCTTAATTTGTAAAACATGTTTCTGAAGTTTTATGTTATTGCATTAAGCTTACCTTTTTTTTCAAAATAGCTGTGGCATGTTTGTCTTCTATATATCTCAAACAAATTACTATTTTCTTGAGGATATGCTAATAATTACAAATTAGCACATCTTCAAGAAAATATGTTTTAATTGAAATTTAAGACTATTTAAATAATAAAACTTAACATTTGCAATATTTGAGGTTGTTAAAGAGTTATGAAACTATCAGGGACCGCAGAATGGGGGGGGGCAGAGGGGGCTTTCATAAAATGACACTGCCCCTTCTAAAATAATAAAATTAGGGATAAATAATTTTCAGGTAAGCAATTTCTTTCATTGATTTTATTTTAATTTTAAAACAATTCAAATCATGAAGATAAAATTGCAAGCTCAAACTCTTGGTTGCCATTTTATGATATTCAGATAATTTGGGAATTTATATAGAGGGGGAGTGGGAGAGAGTCCCCCCCCCCACACACACACACTTGAGATACTTCCGCGATGACTGAAAGTTATCCTGATTTAACATACTAACATTAATAAATCTAACATTTGTAATGTTGATTTAGCAAAGCTGACCAAAATCAGGAGTTAATGTGGCAAATGTTTAGTTATTTTGGATTAATTCACCTATATTGTTTTACTTTATGGCAGTAATAAATACACTTATACTTTAATGTATTTTTTAAGTGTTGGATAATCAGGGATATACTGTACTTATTTTGTTGTTGAAAAAGTTATACATATGTAAACAATAAAATTAAGCAATAAGTCTAATTTATTGTAAATTCTTTGTTGTTTTTGTCTAGAAATAATTAACCCACCTGTAATATATCTTTGTTTTATTAAATTATTATGTCTAGTATTGATGTGTTGTGCAGTGTGAAACATCTGGTACCCTACCATGAGCTCTGAAGAAATTAGTTCCATCTGGGTATGACAACACTGCCAAAAGGGAATTTTTTTTTAGGAACCACAAGATTTCATTGAAATAGTTTCTTTGCAAAAAAATCCACCTAGTTTTTTTTCCAAGTCAGTCTCTACTACCCAAAATCCTCATTCTTGAAAGAATCAATGATTGTTGGTGACTGCACCTGTTAATCTGTTGGTTTTTTCTATTACACACAACATAACAAAATGTCTATAAAAAATATATTTAAAAGAGAAATATTTTATTTCATTATTGCTTGTGAACAAAAAAAATAATTTTAGAATTAACTGAGAATTTATGGCCTAAGAGATATAAAGTATTATGATAAATGTTAAAATGTCTAAATTAAGGGAAATTTTCCCTGATCAATACTTCTTATTGAAATCACAAAAATAATTCGCTATGTGTTCAACAGAATTTAATCTTAGTGGTGTTTCTTTATTTATAAAGAATAAATATACAAATAAAGTATTATATACATAAAAAGAAATTGTTTTAAAAAATGACGAGTTCTAAAAATAAAAACATTTTAAAAAAAGAAGTATTGATTTATTCATTCTTTTATCTACTTTAAATTTTTTATGTTGTCATTTTTTCATCAAAATACATATATACATAAATTTATGTAAGTATTTCACTTTTGCAAGTATTTTATAGGTAAAAAATGATTTTATAAACAAGTCTATAAATTTTCATTTTTAAAAAAGTAAAGTAAAATATATTAAAAATATGGTTGAAATATTTATTAAGGAAAAAAATGATTTTCTCATAATGAATTTATCTTGATAAATTTTCTAACAATTTTTAGTAAAAATTTAATTTGAAGTATTCACAATTCTGAAGTATTCTTTATTCATAGTCTGTAGTAAAAACGTTAAAAAATACAATTGATAGCCAAAAATATTATCTAAATTAGGTAAGTTCATCTTGTAAACTCATGAATAACAATGTTGCCACATTTAAAAATAAAATGCGTAAATTGTGTAATTGATAAAATTTTACGTACTCTCTTAGAAAATTTTAAGTAATTAACTTTCAATTTTAGCTATGCCCATATGAATTTCAAGCGAGCGTTCATAGCTCTGTGTTGAACATTTGTGAAACCAAACTTTCCCGATTTTATTTTCCAGCCAGAAATCTCCGCTCCATTCTCTTTCGCTCATGGTAGGGCCTCAGATATATTTTGTCTGTTTAATAAGTGATATGGTGTTTTGTAATATTAAAATCCTTGTCAAAGATGAAGTTATAAAAAATTCGAGATAAAAATTAAAATGTTATTCAAATCTGACAAATTTTTGAGGTTTGACAGAAAAAAGTTAATAGATATGTTTGATGAAATGAATGTGTCTAGAGTTTCTTCTGATAAAACTGATTAGAGAATAGTTTGATAAAACATTTTAGTGATTGAATTTCCTAATGGTTTCAATTTTATCCAAGATCTTGGTATCAGAATTTACAGGGTGAATTTGCAGCGCTATCTTCATAAATCAGAGATCATTATTGTAAAAATTCAGCTCAATCTCACATACATGGAGCAGAATTTACAAATATTAAAGTCCTTAAAAATTATACTTAAATTTTTTTTTGTTGAAATTTATGCAATGATACTAAAAAAATGGAATAAATCCCTATACAGTTAACCCCAGGGATGACTGTGCTCCGGAAAAAGTCCGGATTTTCTCTTGCCGTGATCCAGAAATCTAAAGTCCTGAAAATTCAAAAAATCATCGATCACATTTATGTATAAAAATTCTTGTACATTTTATTTAAAAATATTAAAACTAGAATTTATGCTTGGCATCTCTTTCATTTGTAAATATTTTTTCTGGTAGAATAATAAATGTGATTAGAGATAAAAGGAAACTTATGCAAAATTATAAATTTAAATTATGCTGCATCTAATTTATTTAGAATTTCATGTTGTGAAAATATCAAGGATTTAAATTTATAAAGACGTTAATTTTTTGAAATGCGTCATTAATATTTTACTCAAGAAATTTTCAGGATTTTTGAGTTAGGCTCACAATTACCCCTATAATCAAGTAACAGAAAAAATGTCTTTACTTTATAATCCTTCATGGTGTTCTCTCAATTCAGCTTTTTATTTTTATTATAAAACTAGTTTAGTGAAGTTATAAAAAGAAATCTTTACAATTTTCCCCTATTCGTTTGTCTGCTCTTTTAAAAATAAAAATAAATTTTAGATGAAAAATAATCTGCAAATGCTGTAATAAAATTCAACTACAGATGCTGCCTTGCAGGAAGATTTCTGCTACCAAAACTAACAATTTTTAGCTCCATGAGTATATAGATTTTGACTTTACCTAAAATCATCTCTTGAGAATATGAATTTTAATTCAACCTATGACTATTAACTCTTAAGAATGTGGATTTCAATTTTACCTAAAGTAATTATCTCGTGAGAATATGGAATTCAATTTTACCTAAAATTATTATCTCGTTAGAATATGGAATTCAATTTTACCTAAAATTATCTCATGAGAATATGGAATTCAATTTTACCTAAGATTTTTATCTTCTGAAGATCTGAATAATTTTACCTATAACTAATTTTAAAGTAATTTTAAATTAGTTATAGAAAGTAATTTTATCAATATTGTGAAATCAATATGTGAATATTATCAATAAAAGTTAGAAAAAAGTATAATTATTTATCTCGGGCATTAAAAATATCTTAACTTTCCTTCTCATCTACATATTTTGACTTCATTTTTGACAAGAATTCTAAAAATATGTATTAAGTACAGTTTTTAACAAGTGTTCCAAAAGAAATATGTATTAAGGGCATTGATTACAGAGCATTCTGTAAGTAAGTTTGCATTCTATGTTAATCTAAATTGCTTCTTTTCCAAATAGAAGCTGTAATTTTAGATTTTGTTCAAAGTTCATAAATTTTTGCAACTATATTTAGTAATAATTCATCTAAATATAAGTTTTTGCATCCTATTTGTTTTGTTTTCATAATTTACTTATTTTGTTTGTCATGTACATTCTTTTGAAAATTAAACAAGAATTGTTTATCGGAAATCAAATTCCACCTTTAATTTAGTTTTTACTCTTATCGGACTACTATATTTTATTGCACATAGAATTGATATATTATTCTAAAATTCAAAATGGATTTATAAAATTGCTGAAAAGTTATTCGATATGTCATTTGAAACTGTAGTGTGATAAATATAGTCATGAAACTTCTGTTCTATGATATAATATTAATTCAAAAAGTAATAATACTTTACCTCCAAATTCAGTGGCAAAATAAGTATTTAAAACTATTTTCTTATTGCTACTGTTAATAAAAAATTATTATTTGAGAAAGATCTTGTTTTACAACGAAATACTAAATATTTATCCTGAAATGTTAAATAATACTAAATATTTCTTTAATAATCTTTCTAGTCTAAAAATTACTCTTTCAAAGCATGAACCGTAATTTTAATTATAATTTCATTTTCAATATCATTTGGGTGGATCTTAGAATAGCCTACCCCGTGGCGATTTTTTTAATTCTCGCCAAGCAAGTTTAGTTCACTAAAATAGGTTTCAGGAAGAAATTTTGAGTATATAATTTTGAACGTCTGATCACACCACCAAAATTCTTAAACCTGATTGCTTATTTGATATGTATACCTATGCGAAAGTTAGATTTTGTTAGAAAAGAGGTAAAAGGGTTTATTTTTTCGCCATTTATGCTGCAGTTAGTATCATCCCTATTATTTCCTTTTTTAACCGTAATTTCATTCATTACTGTTATCTTTTATTCTATTAAAAAATATTTTAATAAATTTGTAATAATTTAAATTGTTTTATATATATATATATATAATCAAAAAGCAATATTGATCCCAGTAATAATCGCCAACTTGGCGATATTTTAAACAGTCGCCAAGAGTTTGGCTATTCAAGGATTTTACCCATCATTTTGTCTTATTACTCATTCCATTTTGTTAAGAAAAGTACTTAATGTCTACTTGATTTACATGGATTGAACAAAATTAAAGTTATATAACTAGTCACACTTCTTTTTTCATCTTGCTTTTTTTTTTTTTTTCAATATACTTTTTTGGTTTTGTAATTTACTCTTAAAAATGACCAATGATTTGGAAAGTCAATTAAAAAGAAACGGAAATCGATAAAAGCATACAATTCGCTGCATTCTACTTAGGAAATCAATTTTTATTCTGAGAAAGTTTCATTATTATTTACTAAGTTTAACAACGAGTGACATTGAGTGAAAAAATGTCAACTTGATGCTGTTTGAGAACAAAATTAACAGACGTTCAGGTAAATATTATATTTGAAAGTGCAAAAAATACTGTTTTCAAGTCATACAAGCACCATCTGATGGCGCTTCTTTGCTTAATATGTAATTTGGTGCCCAAAAATTTACTTATTGTGCAGAACACGACAAACTATCTCAATCCGTTTTTGTTTGATTTTCCAAATTAGTCATTTTTGGGAGACACAAAATTTAAAATTCGTTATTGTAATGTTTATCAATCCTCCAAAGTATTTATTTCGTACTTATATCCCCACTAAAAATAATCTGGAAATTTTCCTTATAATTTTTTTTTTTTTTTTTGTAGGATGTTTGAAGTTATTTGACTCTTTTCTTTTTTTAATATATATTTTATATATATATTCTTTTGATTGTCTATGGATTTTAAATTATCTAAAGTATTTTATTTACTCGAGAAAATCCTCAGAATGATTTCTAAAAAATTGTCTTCAGAATGTAATGTTAAAAGAAGCCAAATACTTCCTGATTTTTATCAGAATTTGTTTCTTTTTAGAAAGTTTTAAAATGTAGCCTATAGTACTTACAAAAGTGCTTCGTGCACTTCCTCTACAGGTAATAGCCCATAATATCCGAAGTGGAAATACACGAAAAGTACTTCTACTGCCAGTAATCGAGAACAACGCTTGATGAGTCAGAAATACAAACATTTTAAATGTTTTTTTTCGAAAATTACGATTTTAAATGTTTATTGTAAAAATATTTAAGCATGTTGAAAGTTAATTCTTCAAAACGATTAAATATTCTACGCTACGAAAAATGTTAATATAATTTAAAAAATAACAAAAAATCTTAATAATTTCTCTTGAAAATCTTACGATAATTTTTAGTGAGGATTTTTCTTACAAAAACTCTATATATTATTGGAGAA